TGGATTGTCGTCAGGTTATAATAAGCGAAAGGAGACAGAGGGAGGAAAAAAGACAAAGGGGAAAGCAGAGAAAGTACAACTGGACCTCGGCTTACGCGCTCAGTCGTGCAGGCAGTTAAGGGATTAGAGGACTTTTTTAAATCTGCAAACAGCCGAAGGGAAAAGGGTTAGAGAATCTATGCTCCGATGTACCCGTGAAATCCGGTCGTAAACGCGGCGGAAAAACGTTCACGACAGCTCAATTTTCCAAAATCACCGCTCAACCCTTCCGCTACCTGCTGCACCAGGCCAAACGATACTTAACGCCTGGCCAATCGCTATGCTCGTCGAATTTTTTAATACCGTTCGACGACCATTGCCAATTGTCAATTTTACGATTTACATTTTTTCCCTCTTCGAGCTTCAATCTACACGATTCCGATTTTTACAATTGCTATTTTACAAACAATTTCACAGTTTAAACCCCATTGAACATCTTTAGAATTATGTAAAGATGGAAATTCAAATGGTGGAACCTTCTACGATTTCAATTTTCAATCGACTCGCGAAATTTGACTTTCGTGACCTTTCATTGACCTTCTACATTTTCAATTTTAATTTTCCCAAATTTATCCGAATTCGTAATTGAACTATTCGAAGTTCCATCCAAAGCGATTCGTAATCGAGAAGACATCATAAATTCGCCAAATTAAATTATACATGTCAAATTAAATTAAATTATATATGTATCGCCACTGTGCGAACATAGGGAAAGGATGATGTAAACAGGGACACGTATGATTGACACAATTATACGATTTAAACCCCATTGAACATTTCTAGAATTATGTAAAGAAGGAAATTCAAATGGTGGAACCTTCTACGATTCCAATTTTCAATCGACTCGCGAAATTTGACCGTCGTGACCTTTCATTGACCTTCTACATTTTCAATTTTAATTTTCCCGAATTTATCCGAATTCGTAATTGAACTATTCGAAGTTCCATCCAAAGCGATTCGTAATCGAGAAGACATCATAAATTCGCCAAATTAAATTATACATGTCAAATTAAATTAAATTATATATGTATCGCCACTGTGCGAACATAGGGAAAGGATGATGTAAACAGGGACACGCATGATTGACACAATTATACGATTTAAACCCCATTGAACATCTTTAGAATTATGTAAAGAAGGAAATTCAAATGGTGGAACCTTCTACGATTTCAATTTTCAATCGACTCGTGAAATTTGACCTTCGTGACCTTCCATGGACCTTCTACATTTTCAATTTTAATTTTCTCGAATTTATCCGAATTCGTAATCGAACTATTCGAAGTTCCATCCAAAGCGATTCGTAATCGAGAAGACATCATAAATTCGCCAAATTAAATTATATATGTCAAATTAAATTAAATTACACACACATCGCGAGCATAGGAAAAGGATGACACATTTTACATTTGTCCTTTCCTCCTGACTCGTGTCACCCTCTCATATCCTCTCGCATGTGTAGTATGTAACATGTATATAAATGCATGGATAGTGTAACAAAATAAATAAAAAAAAAAAATATACATCAATATATACTTTACTATTCTAATTAGGACAATCCTTTGACCTGATTTCTCCCTATTTAATACCAGTAATAATCGGTAGACGAAAATACGAAAGCGGAAGAGCCTGAGAAGGAAGTTAGCCAGCAGAAAGTTGGAAAATCGGTCGATCGACTCGGTACTCGACTTTCGCTGAGAAAATGGAAAACTGCGACGCGATTATCGGCGTTTCGCGTAAAATCGCGCGATTTCGAGGGGTGGAACAATGTCGAGTCACCGCGTAATTCCCCCGTGCTCGGATAGTTCGCTAATTACATTTACGAAGTTAACGCGGCTAATCGCGTTTGCGTCTAAGAAATCCTTGGATTCGGGGAAGGCACCGCGACGCAGGCTCGTCGACTCGTTGACGCGACTAATTGCAAAACACCGCCGGATCCCCGCGCGTGTTTTTGTGTGTTTTCGCGATTAAGCGCGCCGGAAAGCGCGATAATCCCCGGCCTTTCGACGAGCTAATCCTCTGCTCTGTCGTTGGATTACAAGATGTAAACGGCAAGGTCCTCGTCGTAAACGAGCCGTGCGACAGGCTCGATTTCGAGAAACACGCTGGTGCAACCCCTTCCTCTACCTGAGGCCCTCAGACGTCGGGCACGTCGTCGACTTCCGGGGGTGCGGGGGGTTCAAATAGAAATAAAATCGATACACGGACGGACGAGATACGCACGGGACGGGAAATGCTAGTCAGGCGAGGCTCCGGGGGGCGGCAGGGGGGCGGAATTTATGCACTTTTGTCTAGTTTCTTTTTTTCAGAAATGCCCCAGTCGCGGGGAAGATCGTGACGGAGGTGGAAATGGTTTTAGCTACCGAAAAGACGAGGAGGAACGACCTAGCTTGTTAATATATTTGTACACGACACGATGATACCAAGCTTCGGAATTTTGGGAAATTAATCGGGGGCAGAAAATGGAAAAGAATATACTTGAAAAATAGATAAATTGAAATTAAATTAAATATATCTTTCGAGGGAGGAAATATTGTATAGGAGAAGATTATGTTAGTGGTGGATGAAATATTAATAACAATAAGAACAATTCTTTATTAAATTAGAAAAATTGTCAAACACGAATAGCAAATTTAAACAGGAAGTGTCAGTTTGTTAAGGAAATTGTATCCAATTATATAGTGAGAGTGACTCATGTACTCAAAGAAAGTATGGATGAGGATTGCATGACAAAGGCTTTGAGCCTTGAGAAAATGGGAAAGAATATCTTTGAAAAATAGATAAATTGAAATAAAATTTGTATATCATTGAAGGGAGGAAATATACTATAGGATAAAATTATGTTAGTGGTGGATGAAATATTGATAATAATAAAAACAATTCTTTATTAAATTAGAAAAATGATCAAACTCAAATATCAAGTTTAAAACACAAATATTAAGTGTCATTTTATTAAGGAAATTATATCAAATTATATAATGAGAATGACACATGTACCCAAAGTATGGATGCAGATTGTATGACAAAAACATTGAGTGGACCAAGTTTATTAGAAAATCTTAAAAACTTTGTGTGTGTAAAAATTTATGAAACCAAGGGGGAGATTGTGGTAATGGTTACGTAGATTTTTAAATATATATCTGTTGATATAATAAAGGAGTGATGTCTGTAAGAAAGGGTAGAACAAGTATGCACGGGATGGCAATATTTAATGAATTCAGGTTATCGTGATAAATGATTATGTGCGTAATGATCGAGGTGTTGTGTGAATTGTGTATGTACATGTAATGTATGAAAGAAGAAAGAATCAAATGAGAGTGATTTGGCATAGGTCAGTTGCAATTGAGTTTTAATAGTGAAAAGAGGTGCGAGCATGTGATTGTGATAAATTAATTAGATTTATACTTAATATTTGCGTTTGATCATTTTCTGTAATTTAATAAAGAATCGTTCTTATTGTTATCGATACTGGCTATAACAATTATTGTTATTGATAATGGCTGTAATAATTCAATAGGTTTAGATCCCTCATTTATGTAGAAAAATTAGCTCACCACGAATTGACATTAGTCGAAAATGTCAATATAACTGAAAATTTTAATCAAAAACCTATAGAAATTGAAATGACTATAACAATCCAATAGGTTTTGATCCCTTGATTTATGTAAACAAATTAGCTTACCATAAATTAATTTAAACTATAATAATATTATCATTTTTGTAATTAAATAAAGAATTGTCCTTATTGTTATTAATATTTCATGCACGTCTAACAGATTAGACCATGGTGAAAGGTAGAGGAAGAATTAATAAAGGTGTAAATAAAAAATCAATGAAATGCGACAAACGAGGAGAGGGGGAAAATAATAAAATGATAATATCTAATAATATTATCATTTTCGTAATTAAATAAAAAATTTCTCTTATTGTAATTGATGTTTCATCCACGAATAATAAATTAGACCATGGTGGAAGATAGAGAAAGAATTAATAAATAAATAATGGATCTATAATAAATTACAAATTAAAAATCGATGGAATGCGACAAACGAGGAGAGGGGGAAATTGGAATCCCTTTACAGTACCGGTTAAAGGAAGGATTTGCGAAAAAATTAAGAGGAAAAGTGAAATTTATACGTGATTAAAGGAGAAAAAAATATCGTACGCGAAGATTACGCTGGGACTGCGGCGAAAGATAGGGAGGAAATTAGAAAGGAGGAAGCCAGAGGGGGTGTCTCCCCGTGTTTCCATGGTGTATTGCACCAGGAACGGAGAAAAGTGGTTGCCAGCTGAATGGCCGGTGTTTTATAACAGTGGCGAGAGCCGAATAACCCTCGTGGCTTTGTTGAATCGCGGCCTCACGAGTGTACCTGCGGTAAAAATCAGCCACTACTGTGCGTACGAGGCCTAAGGGGACACCGTAAAGGGTTGAAGCGCCATAAAACGACCCATTATCGGCACGGAAGAATGGAAAAAATGTCCAGTTACGTTTCCAACGAGCTAAGGCTCGCTTAATTGCACCCCCGAACTCTATTGCTCCTTCCTTCCTCGTTGGTTTCACTTTTTCCTCGCTTTTTTCCACGCTTACTTTTCCATGGGATCCCGTAGTTCCTTCGTTGGCGAAATTCAAGAAAAATTCCAATACCCACGAATTTTTACATCTTCGCGACACTCTTGCTAATAATTTCTGCACCCTAACGCTTTACTAACCTCCACTAGCAGACTGAGGAAATCACGGAAATTGGAAATCATAGTAATTATTTACGCTGTTAAAGGTTTCGTTAAAAACATCCTGAATAAAATCCTACTTATTTAGGGCTCGAGCAAGCGCCCGTAATCGAAGGTATTTTCCCTGGTTTCTGGACACGATCCACGCGAGTTAGCTTAAATTCCAGAATCTCGAGGGATTTTTCCGCGAACGAGGAGACAAAGCAAAGAAATACGAGGAATATTCCATCACTCACCTGTGGACACATCTTGCACTGGTACTTTCTCGGCGGATGAGAGTGTGGTCCACCCAGATGAGGGTTCAGATGCGACGGATGAGAGGGTTTCACGGTCAAAGGCTGAGGAACCACCAGCAGACTCGCTGGAGGACTTCCGCTGCTGGATCCTCCTGCGCCCCGGTATTGCTCGTCGCCTGAAAGCAGCGATCGCAATGCAAATCCTGTTAGAAGCTTCTCTCAAACCAAGTTCGACTAAATCCCGAAACTATCACGCGAGATATGAATTAGATCGCGGCACCTCGGAATCAAGAAGCTTCGCTGGTCTAGCAAACGCACGGAGTGTTCGGAATAAATAAGAGATCGAGCGTGGGGACGAGAAAATAACGCAAACAGTGTAAATAAAAATCGATTACCGTCTCTATGAATTATTGAACCGGGAACTGGAAGAATCTTTTTGTGGGAAAAAAAATAAATCCTCTGGAAATGGGGCAATCTTCCGTGACTAATCTCCGCCGTTCCTTTTCCTCTGTGTCTCGCGTGGAAAAAGAGGGAAAAATATCGCGAAGCAGCGCGTAGTAAATAAATTAATACCCGGATAAAAGGTATCCGCGAATTATGTTAAACAAGCATTATCCAGCAAAACTCGGCCATTATCGCGATCAGTTGGAAACATTAATCTGCCGCGAAATTTCTTCTACTCGTAGATCGTGCAAACGTAACACGAGCGTTACCATTACGAGCGCGGGTTTTATGGCCGAGTGTCTGGCCAGATTAGAAAGTCGCTATCGCGGGTATATTATTTATTTATTAAACAGGCACGGCGATTTCCCGAGCGTTGCAGAATCGGTGAAATTGCCGATTCGGGCCGGGACAATTAACGCTGGACGATACGTCGATGAAACGTAACCGTACAACTGGAAAAATCACCGATCTTTGATGCATCGATCACGGACACGTTCCGATTAATAACAGGATAATTCGAGGAATTTTCTATCGCGGCGAGTGATCTCGGGTAAAAAGGTTATAATTAGAGTACATTATGCGATGCCACGGAAATAAATGTCGTTACAAAAATGTTCGCCGTATCTCTGCCTTCCTCCCTCCATCCTCCCTCTCTGCTCGTCGCGAAAATCCACGGTTTACCTCCCTTCTCCGACGTAAATTCGCGTAACGCGATTCCGCTGCGAAAAAACCACTCCGAATTCCGCGAATCTTCGTTTACGCGAAAAAATAAATAAAAAGTAAAAAAATTCGCAGAAAATTGAATGATCCTTTGAATTAACTACGCCCAAACGATCCCATAGGATCCCAGAAGATTCCAAGGCACCCTGGAGAACTCCAGAGGATCCCAGTGGATCCCAGTGAATCCCAGAGGATCCTAGAGGATCCTAGAGAACTCCAAAGAATCCCAGAGAATCCCAGAGGAACCCAAAGAACCATAGAGGATCCCAGTATTATCCCAGAGGATTCCAGAGAACTCGGAAGAATCCCAGAGGAACTCAAAGAACCCTAAAGGATCCCAGGAGGATCCCAAAGATTCCCAAGGGGATCCCAGAGGATTCCAGAGAACTCGGAAGAATCCCAGAGGAACTCAAAGAACCCTAAAGAATCCCAGGAGGATCCCAAAAATTCCCAAGGGGATCCCAGAGAAATCCAGTGGATCTCAGAGAAATCCAGTGACTCTCAGAGAAATCCAGCGACTCTCAGAGAAATCCAGTGGATCCTAGAGAAATCCAGTAGATCCCAGAGAAATCCAGTGGATCCCTGAGAAACCCAGTGGATCCCTGAGAAACCCAGTGGATCCCAGGGAAATCCAGTGGATCCCTGAGAAACCCAGTGGATCCCAGGGAAATCCAGTGGATCCCTGAGAAACCCAGTGAACCCCAAAGGATCCCAGTGAGTCCCAGAGGAACCTAAAAAGTCCCAAAGGATCCCAGTGAATCTCAGAGGAACCCAAAGAGTCTCAGAGGATCCCAGAGAAAGCAAAGACTCGACAAGGTTGGCCTAGAGGAGGAATATTTGCATAGCTGATGAGAAGGGAGCGGATTTTGATAAATCGGCGCGGTGTTTGACGAAATCGCCGTGTCCGCGCGAGATCTACAAGCGTCGGGGCCGCGATCGACGCGGATAGGCACCGGCGTGGATAATTAATGGAAGGTGTGCGGGCCGCGATACGAGGAATTGCTCGGGCGCGAGCAAACACGCAGAGAAAGAGGCACGCGGAGCGACTGACGCAACGGCGCGCGAGGGGCAAGGATCCTGGCAGGTTGCAAGGACGAGTGATCCTGCGTTACGAGTGGCTGTCATTAAAGGCGAGTTCTCGATATCGAGATCGAACCATGCGGCAAGGTACAGGTGCATCCGCTCGGTGTGTGCGTGCGTGTTCGATCCAGCTCACGTCTCCTTTCCACCCGATCGGTCCTCCTTCGTCTTCTATTAACATTTTTCTTCCTGCCCGCCGTCGCTGCTCTTAAAATCGACGCGATCGCCGGAAGAAAGTTTCGAGTTTCACAGAATCAGTCTCCTCTGGTCCAACCTTCTACACGGGATCGAGGATGTCGGGGTTCGCGGACTCTGTCGTCGTTCAACCTCTTCAGGGACGAATCCCTTTTCGCGTTTACATTGCAATAATTTCGAAACGGTGATTATAGACCAGAATAAACCACTACTAACGGCTACAAACAACGAGGTTTGTCGAATTTTATCCTTGAAGGATCCTATAACGAATGCTCCTCCAACTGGTACCAATTCTCTTTTCGTTCATATTAATCAGAATTTTCGAAAAATTAATGGTACACACGTGTGCTAGTATCCACGCAAAGAGGCTAACAATATTTTTGTTATTTTTACCTTTCAGATCGATATTTACCATATCGAGTTTCTAAATGTCACTTCGTTGGACACCTAAGAATAATGGACTCATCAGAGATGGACTCTCGTGAGAGAAACTAAATTTTTGGACTGAAATGTCTTTTCTGTAAGAGCATCGATTTCTTTTTTATTATTTCCACTTTCGAATTCAACAGGGAAAAGAATATTAGACATATGGAGTATCTAAATTTCATTTCATTTGGCACCAAAGAGTAATGGACTCATCAGAGATGGACTCTAGTGAGGCACACTTAATTTTTGGATTAAAATGTCTCATTTTGTACGAGTATCGATAATTTTTCCGAGTACCAACCTTTTAATTATACACGTTTTCACGAATTCCGATCTGTTTCATAGACCACGCAATCGAGGACAGAGCAGACTGATTTTTATCATCGCGTTCGATTAGACAGGTAACAGCCTGTGCAAGATAGGCACAAGGTCGAAATTCTACTCGTAACACATCAACGCTATACATATATACCATAACCGTAGTTAAATGACTAAACCAAAAAATTCATTAAAAATTATTCAAGGTGGAATAAACGGAATAAAGGAAGACAAGAAAATCGATGATACTCCCGTTGAAAGGAAGAATCAACGAGTCATAGAATGTTTAACAGGACATCCAAAATCAGTTATTCAAACTGCTACATGGGTCCCCACTGAATTGATGCTAGAAAAGAAATTCTTGACACGTGGAGCTTCTAAATATCGCGAAATTATTGTCAAACGACGGAGTTATTAGTCATCACGTGACATTTTCACGAATTTGGATCCTCCTTCTAGGAAAAATTTCGCAGAAATGAGGACGGATACAGCAGAGAACAGGACCTAGGTCCTAAAGCAGGAAATATTCGTAATCGGGATTCAAAATTTTCTACGATAGAGTGAACTCGTGTTAGGTGACTAGTCAGGTAGAGTCCTAGAATACAAAATATAATATTTATAGCCAGGATTCAAAATTTTCCGCGATCAAATGGATCCGAGTTAAATGATTAGTCAGGAGGGATCCTACAGTAGGAAATATTCGTAACTAGGATTAAAAATTTTCCACGATCAGGTGGACACGAATTAGGTGACTAGTTAGGTAGGGTCCAAGAATAGAAAATATTTATAGCCAGAATTCAAACTTTTCCACGATCAATTGGATCCGAATTAGATGATTAGTCATGAAGGGTCCTAGGGTAGCAAATATTCGTACCCAGGACTCAAAATTTTCCACGATCCAGTGGACCTGAGTTAGGTGACAGGTCAGGTAGAGCCCTAACGTAGGAAATTTTAACTAGGACTCCAAATTTTCCACGATCCAGTGGACCTGAGTTAGGTGACAGGTCAGGTAGGGTCCTAAAGTAGGAAATTTTAACTAGGACTCGAAATTTTCCGCGATCCAGTGGACCCGAGTTAGATGACAGGTCAGGTGGGGTCCTAGAGTAGGAAATTTTAACTAGGACTCGAAATTTTCCGCGATCCAGTGGACCTGAGTTAAGTGACTGGTCAGGCAGAGTTCTAGTGCAGGAATTACTCGTACTCAGGACTCAAAATTTTCCACAATGCAATGGATACGAGTTAGGTGACAGGTCAGGTAGAGTCCTAAAGCAGGAAATTTTAACTAGGACTCGAAATTTTCCACGATCCAGTGGACCTGAGTTAGGTGACAGGTCAGCTGGGGTCCTAAAGTAGGAAATTTTAACTAGAACTCGAAATTTTCCGCGATCCAGTGGACTCGAATTAGGTGACAGGTCAGGTAGGGTCCTACAGTAGGAAGTTTTAACTATTACTGACAATTTGCCACGATCCAGTGGACCCGAGTTAGGTGACAGGTCAGATAGAGTCCTAAAGTAGGAAATTTTAACTAGGACTCGAAATTTTCCACGATCCAGTGGATCCGAGTTAGGTGACAGGTCAGGTAGGGTCCTAAAGTAGGAAATTTTAACTAGGACTCGAAATTTTCCGCGATCCAGTGGACTCGAGTTAGGTAACAGGTCAGGTAGGATCCTAGAGTAGGAAATTTTAACTAAGACTCGAAACCCGCGATCCAGTGGACCTGAGTTAGGTGACAGGTCAGGTAGAGCCCTCACGTAGGAAATTTTAACTAGGACTCGAAATTTCCCGCGATCCAGTGGACTCGAGTTAGGTAACAGGTCAGGTAGGATCCTAGAGTAGGAAATTTTAACTAAGACTCGAAACCCGCGATCCAGTGGACCTGAGTTAGGTGACAGGTCAGGTAGAGCCCTCACGTAGGAAATTTTAACTAGGACTCGAAATTTCCCGCGATCCAGTGGACTCGAGTTAGGTAACAGGTCAGGTAGGATCCTAGAGT